CTTTTTGAGAAACTGAAACAATGCCTCTGACCCAAATTTTCTTTCTTTTGTTTTTTTGCCAACTGTTAAACATGGTGACGGATCTGTATCAGTTTTAAAATCAGTTGATTATTGCTTTACATGGTTGAGGATAGCCAAGGAATTTAACATAATCTTACAAGACTAAGCACAGTTTGTTGGAGGGATAAATTGGCTGTATCAGCTCAAACCCTAAGACAATCATTGGAGAAGAATTGTGATGACGAAAAGTCTCTTGCTTTTCCTGTAGCAAGAGATACTAATTTCCACTTACAATTGTTAAAAGAGACCTTCATAAAATATATTTAATAAACTCATGACTAATCTTCAGTAGCAGTAAAGGAACAACTATAGCATTAGGAAATACAATTATGGGTCCCTGCTGCTGGGTAAAAAATGCAGTTTACCTTTTCTTCCTCACAGCGCTGGTCTCCTCAGTGAAGCTCCACCTTTTTTGCTGAGATCATTAAGACTGATTATCTCAGCCAATCAAATGTTTTTCCATAGGAAAGCTTTGAGAGTCAAGTGCACACACACGGCAAAAGGCAGCGCTGCACCAAATGGTTTCTCTGAGACCATCAGATTTAAATAGAAGTTTTGTTCTGTGATTTCAAGAAACACCTCTAGTGGCTGTCAGTAAGATAGCCACTAGAGGCAGGTTATCCCTGCAAAGAAGACATTCCCGTTACTGCAGAGCAGCAATGTTTTCAGTCATTTTTACTTGAGATGAAGTGCTTATAGTGTTCGTTTAAGTAACAGTGAAACAGAGTCTAGTATGCTGTATTTGTAAGTAGTCAGGTTTTTTTTGCAGTATTTAAAGGGGATTTTCCATCCCCATCATTTTTAACAATATGTCTACTTAGCCCTGTATTTAACATATGACTGCTTGGTTAAAGGCTTACTTCAACATCCATGACCACTTCTGCTTTTAGAAGTGATCAAGGAGCAAGGAATCTGACGTCTGACTTGGTTCTCACAGGGGAAGCGCCATTAGGAGTTGTGTTCACCCTGCAATCATAACATTCCTTCATCTGTTGAACAGCACTGTTAAAACTAAAAGGCCAATGTACCCAGACCACTTTATTGAGATGAAGTGGTCTGGGTGCCTTTAGTGGTCCTTTATGAATTGGGGTGTAGGACTGCTTTAGTAATATGGATAGGGATAATAAAGGTGAGGTGTGAAAAATAAAATTAAATGTATAAATTCACACCTCCTCATCCTGCAGTTAGGTGCCTCCATCTTGGATCGATGTCATTCATTGTTTTAAATTCCGTCCTTTGCACCTTGTAGTTAGCATGGAGAAACCACAAAGAGAAGTTTCTATGTCCCTTCTTGGTTTGTAAAAAGTTTCCCCTGACGTTTCCTTATCTGAACTGGATTATGATGTAATTAGTTAAATAATTAGAAAATAAAATAGAACATCTCATAAAAAAAAAGTGCAAATGGATTTTAGGTGATGTTCAATGTTGTATTCCATGATATAAATCACAGAGAGGAAAACCAGCATTGTATATTAAAAATGTTTATCCGAAGTACTCTGTGCTCTTTAATGGGTTTGCATTGATTGCCTCCATGCCCTTACATTACCTTTTAAAAATGTTCCAGTAAAGGTCAGTTAGAGATTAGATTCCAACCTTTAAATGTTTATGTGTTGGCCTATTCACAAATTAAGTTGTTTTTACTTTCAACATAATCACATTGCACAACTCAAATTCATGGCTATTGTGCATTGCACAATGTCAATGGCGTGATCCAATATCACATTTAAAAAAATAGGATCATACAAGCCAAAAACCTTGCCTCACTGAAGATGATATCACTACTTTGTCTTAAACCTAAATAAAATGTACGTAGTTTAAAAATATGAAAATATGTATATATAGAAAATAATATAGAAATACAAAAAAAGTTAATATAAAAACAAAAATTTAACAATAAAATGGAAAATAAAGCATAAATATATATTTTTTTTATTAAACTCCCACAGGTAATAGGTTCAGTTTAAAAATAAAAAAATAACACAGGGGGAAAAAGTACAGTTTGTTTTCATCAATACATCTTGTGTTATTATACATCTCCAATAACAAAAAAACAGGCATATTTTAAATATTGTACAGTAGGGTTGGATTAATATAGGGGCGGTTGGAGCTCTATCTCTAGGCTGAACCTGCTGTGGTAGACGCAGCCTACTGGCTACCGTCAGTTTTGTGGCTGGCTCTCCCGATGCTTCTGATTGAGCTCTGTGTTCCATTGTAGACTAGGACTAGCCATCTGATGTAATCGGTGGATGTCTTTGTGGCTAGTCAGAACACTTGTAGGAAAGAGGTGTGTCTGCAGGCCACTGTGGAGCCATAGCTCCAGACGGCACACTGCCCTGTCATCATCTAAAACAGGAGTTCCCTGGCAGCATTTCATCCTTGGACCCAGGCAGCACAATGTCTTGAGGCAACCCTGCGTGTGTGGACATGTTGGTGGAGACACAGAGAGGAGACACGCACAAAGGGCAGACAGATAAATAGGTTGATACATCAAGGTGATATGTTGATGTGCACCTTTGCCCACTGGAACTGGGTTAATTCATTTAGTGGAGTGGTCCCCAAGGCCTCCTAATAAGCATAAGGAAGTTACACTCCCTTCACTTCTATCATCTCAAGCGCAAGGGCAGGTCGAGTTTATGTCTCTCGACAGAGATGTGAGCTTCAACTGAATGCCCAGTAGTCATCTATCCTATAATAGCATATGCTGTTCTCATATCCCAGGAGATTGTCCACCTCCTACAGATTATTACCAGCCTACCCCTAAAATAAGGTGCTGGAGTATTCCAAACTCTCATGGCACTGGTAGTCCCCGTGCCCCATATAAAGCTGGCCATAAAACAATAGGTTTGCACAGCTCAATATATATAACAATCAGTAACTTCATTTATGTGTACAAGAGTTTGGATATAGCATCATCAGAATATGAGCCAATATGATTTCCTTACTGTAGTTAGTTACTCAGTTCCATTCATACCTATACTGATGATACAGCAAGGACAGGTTACACATACCCTTGGTTTCCATGTTCCAAGTAAACTAGTACTTTAAAAATGAACTGTTCTGATTAGCCTTTTGGACTATCACACTAACCATTACTTTATCTCAGTCAAATATTTCTAATTAACAAATTTTTGGCTTTTGTAGGGAAAGTGGGAGCTGCTTGTGGGTGCCCTTTCTAAAACAAATAGTCTTATCTATAATTTTTGTAATTGAGCCAAGCCTGAAAGTTTAACATATAATGTCTCTTTAACCCTCAAGGACACATGACATGTGTGACTTGTCATGATTCCCTTTTATTCCAGAAGTTTGGTCCTTAAGGGGTTAATAGCTCATTACAATAATGTTATGCAGTTCTTGCCTAATTATGGTAAAAAAAATGTTCAAGTTTCAGCTCACTTGAAAAATCTAAATTATGTATATAAGGATGAGTTTAAGTCGATTTCCACTACGACGCGTGACATTGAAAAAGGCTACCCCTGCTCTATTAGTTGGAGGAAGGCATGATTACTGGCATTTGCAGATGAATGAAAACCATGCTTACAGATGAACCAATTTTTTTTTATTGTTTTGAGATTTCCAAACACCCCACTTTTTTATTTTTATGTATTTTTTTTTGTTTTTTTTAAGAAACACTATAGTGTTAGGAATAAAAAGCTGTATTGCTAATACTATGGTGTCCCTTAACTCAAGATTCCCATTCAGCTAACAAATAAAGTGTTAAAAATGTACATGTTTCTAGCGTTGATGTCCATGGGCGATGCGTCGGGCTTCTCCTCACCTGAGGTCACGACGATCGGTAAACCTAATCTGCCTGTGGGATTGAGCGTCTTCCTCATAGGAAAGAATTGAATCAAACAACATGCACAGTTACAGCTTCAGGCTTAAATACAGTAAGATTTTGCTATATTTATGGAGGCATGAGGGGGCCCAGGGGGGCTAGATGGTGGTTTTAAAACTATAGGGTCAGGAATACATGTTTGTGTTCCTGACCCTATAGTGATCCTTTAAATTTCAGGAGTTGCTGGTTCCCTGCAATCCAATTTTCTGCAGTTGTTTATCGGTTCTTTTTTTTAATTGTGTTTTTGTTGACCAGAGCAGTTCAATCAAGCGGTGCCCGATCCATGTTTTGAAGACAAAGTCTGTCAGCTCAAAGTCAAGGACTTAAAGCAGCTCTGTCACAAAAAATATGAAAAGTTACATAAAGATATGATCTTTATGAAATACTCATACTGATTGTCTTGGAAAAATTACAGAGCAATTAAAAGCTATTATAGCACAAATCAGAGACTATTCTGCCTTATTTTAAAGCTTTAAGTTGAGAAAACTTAGCAAATGGTGGAACTTTCACTGTCAATTCCATCACCATCACTAGAAATGACTGCTGGAATCAGGCACCTTCTCTCTTTTTACGTAAGTGTTTCTATGTAAGATCTGTCAGTTTCACTGGATCCTTCATAGACTTCTGTGCTATAGTTTTGCAATGTTCATTTATATCTCTGTCATTACTTAATTATGCATCTAAATCATCTTATTCAGACAAATATGAAACCTGTGGGTCTTGTTATATTTTAACCAGCGAGATTAACCTGCATTTCCAGTTCATTATTGAGAAATTCCTTCAATAGAACTATTTTATAAAAAAAAAAGTAATTTAGAACAAGAACAATGTGTCTTATTTACACAGATTGATTTCTAAACATATTTATTGTAGTACAAAGACACATTACTGGGAGTATTATTGCTGTAGAGCTCTGCTATACACTCGGACACACCAACATATAGAAAGTTCCTGGAAAAGAAGGACATTAGGATAAAAAAGAGGGACGGGGGAGTTGTGCCCAAAATAGGGACTAACGGAAAAAAAAAACACTGCGCCATAGACAAAGTGTTTTTGTTTTATTTGGTTCAAAATATGTGGTTTTGGGATTCCTTTGTGATCCACTGCTGCCTTTATTATTTATTAATTATAGTGAGCGCCTATAAAATAAAACCTTTTCCAAAATAGGGACTGCCCCTCTAAGTAGGGACACTTGGGAGGTATACTATGTTTTGGGTTTGTGCCTAAATGTAGATTCTGATGATTTGTGCTTACTTCAATATGTTAGGAAGGGTAAAGCACTCACCATCGAACTTGCACAGAACCAGATCCACCACAAAAATCAGTAAAAAATTAGGAAATAACAAATCCTTTGTTAGTGCCACACACAGATAATATTTCAGCCAAAAACCTTAGGCTGACAAAGTCAAGGTTTGTGACTAAAACACTACATATGTGTGGGCACCAATAAATGATTATATTGGAGGTTTGTTCTTAAATTTTGTTACATGTTCTCTTTGGTTCTCATTATCAAGAATCCACCCCAAATTTAAATCAGGGACTGTAGTTGTGGGAAGGGCTTGGGGTTCCCTTTTAAAAGGGCCTCCAATCCCCTCTCACATACCGTGATTGGTCTGTTTCCTCGTGGTCCTTGCTGTTCGTTTTCGTTCCGTTTGCCGACCACTGCCACTCACTATCCGCCCGCTTCCTGCTACCATTCCCTCGAGGTCCGGCTCGGAAGTGCTTTCCAAAATTGTAAGTTGGGACCCAAAACACTGCGCCACAGTCACGGTGCAGTGGCTTCATCCAGTTTTTTGTCCATCCTCTCTACTGTTGGTCATGTGTCACTTGCCTTTCTTGGGTTTCAGCCAGTTCGGGCTTTGTTGGTGCATATTGTTATACTCACCTACTGTGCCTTATGGGGCTGTTTGGGTTCTTTTTTCACCACACGAACGGTACTCCTTTCACATGCCTGTCCCACTGTATTGCTATTCCCTGCGAACGACTAAACTTTCATACGATCGGGGGTTTTGGTTTTCCGTACTTGGGACTCGCGCCAACGCTCAGTGGTTCTGAGTGTTCGTGCAAATCCCCCCCAGATTGCCTTGCACGTGTTGGTTGTCTAATTATCGAATGACAGGTGTTTTGCACTAAATATATTTGTTGCATGTTAATGCTGGTGTTGTGATGATCCCCCTGCTGGGGTTGTTGGGTATTGCAGTAGCAGTATGTGCTTATTCCTTCACCCTGTGGCATTATGTTATGTTGTGCATTGGAGGTGGCCTCACCAGTGGTTTAACTGTACATATGCTTGTTTAGTTTCAGCTGGATACGATTGCTGCTGTGTGTATATCCCTGTCTTGGACATCCGACACAATGGGTATTTCCTGCCTGGGAGCTCATCCTTCCTGGTAGCGTTTGCCTTTGTTGCCTCGTGTCCTCCAGTTCGGCAGGTTGCTTTTACTTAATCGGGTCCACGATCTGGCCCACGCTGGGTTATATTTTCTCTGTCACTATCCTACAGTTTTTGAAGTTTTAGGTTATTGTACTAAGTGACATGCTTTGTCCAACCTTTTCCTGCCAAGGGGCTTATCATCCTGGCAGCGTTTGCCTTTATTGCCTCATATCCTCCAGTAGGGTAGGTTACTTTTACTTATTTGGGTCCACAATCTGGCCCACACTGTGGCATTCATTCTCAGTAGACATGTGCAATTCGTTTAGTTCCGAATGTGAATTTGGATGAATTTCTGGCAATTCGGACATCCGAATGTCTGAAATTCTGAATTGCCAAAGTGCAGAATTTCGGAAGGTAGGGTTTGAGGTAGGGAAAGGGGTAGGGTTAGGGAACCCTACAGATGTTCCGAATTTTGGAAGTGCCGAACCGAATTGGCGAAGTGCCAAAATTTGGAAGTGCCGAACCGAAGTGCCAAATCTTTTTTTTTTACCCGACTTTACGAACCGAACCAAATTTTTTAATCATGCACATCCCTAGTCCTCAGTCACTATTCTGCATTTCTCTATTTTAGGTTGCTGTACTAGGCAACACGCTTTGTCCAACCCCTTTTTCCTGCCAAGGAGCTTGCCCTTCCTGGCAGCGTTTGCCTTTGCTGCCTCATATTCTCCTTCGGGGTAGGTTGCTTTACTTGTTTGGGTCCATGATCTGGCCCTCGCAGAGGCATAATGCTCTCAGGCACTGTTCTATAATGGAGGGGGGGGAAAAAGTTTGGATCCACGATCAGGCCCATGCAGTGAACATGCATTCTCAGATGCTGTTCTACATTTTCAGTTTTAAGTTGCTGTACCCTTTTGTTGCTATCTCTCCTCCACTCTTGTCAACCCTACTTTTGGACTTTACAGTCTCAGGTACAACATGTTACTTTTCTGTGAAAAGTGGTCCCCCTTATGTAGTATTTACTGTCTGTCAGTGAACTAGGTGCCAAATATTTTTGGTTGAGGGATTGTCACTGGGGTTTCACACAGGTATCATTCACTTGCCACCTGGTACGCTTGAATGCAACAATTTGCAGTCAGCCTTAGCAGATCCAGAATTGGTGGACATGCTGATTAAAGGACCACTATAGGCACCCAGACCACTTCAGCTTCACTTCAGAGAAACTGCTATGTTTATAAATGGGTTAATCCAGCCTCTAGTGCCTGTCACATTGACAGCCTCTAGAGGGCTTCCGCGCTTCTCACTGTGATGTTCACAGTGAGAAGACGCCAGCGTCCATAGGAAAGCATTGTGAATGTTTTCCTATGGACTGGCTGAATGCGCATGCGCATTCAGCAGAGGAGGCGGAGAGGAGGAGGAGAGCTCCCCGCCCGGCGCTGGAGAAAGAGGTAAGTTTAACCCCTTCCTCGCCCCAGAGCCTGGCGGGAGGAGGACACTGAGGGTGTGGGCACCCTCAGGGCACTATAGTGCCAGGAAAGCGAGTATGTCCTTTAAGACTGAATTGGAACAAGGATTTGTTCTCTGCCTCTTTAGGTCCAGCTCATATACCGCATGGAGAACAAATCCCATTGGAATTGTCACTGGCAAATCTTCTCTGAAAAGAAGATTGATTGTTGACCTTTCGGCGCCACATTCCTTCATGGTTCCTAGCCTTAACTCTCTCATATCCTCTGACGAGTTCTCCTTTGGTATTCCACCATTGACAATGCCATCTGGGCCATTCTCATGGCTGGGGCTTGCCCAAAAACACAATGTCCCAACTGAGTTTATCATTGAGAATTTTGGGGGGGGGGGTGAAAGGAACCGACATGCCCTACGAGACTACCGCCGAATTAGGGCACAAATTAGTGGAGTGAGAAGCGGACGTGCAAACAGCACAAGCCGGGGCCTTGAGGCCTGCGAAGTGCCTGCAGAACAACTCAGTGTCCAATCTACTTTAACTCATGGAGAAGTTGAACTGAGTCAGAGCTGCAGCCACCTTCGCCGAGAAAGGCCGGTAGTAGTCGTAGAAGGCAGTACCACCATACTTGTACCTCAGATCCACCAGCTTATGCAGGTACACATCCAGTTCCTCTCTCCTGTCGGGATAGATGGAACAATAAACATCCCTATATATCCTGAAAGCCAGGATGAATTTGGGCAAAGTCAACTTCCTACTCAACCTCAGGTCCCTCGCCTTGAGCACCACAGAGAGGGGTAGGGACTTGGTTTGATAAAACTGACATTGTCAACGCATTTAAATTACTTCCTATCCACCCCTCGCTGGTACGAAATGCACAACATTAAGTGGCATGGTCTATATTATTTTTTCACCAGACTCACGTTCAGTTCCAAGAGTAGCCCCAAAATATTTGACATCTTTGCAGAAACCCTGTGCTGGATGCTACTTAATGTGTGCAGATGCCCGGTTATACATTACTTGGACGACTTTCTCACGGTTGAAGACAACTCTCAACCCCCTCGCAGTCTTGCAGGTACAATCAGTCTGTTTGAATCCCTGGGGATACTGGTCTCCCCACAAAAGACTGAGGGTCCTGATACGATTATTCATTTTTTAGGGATTCTTGACTTGGTTCACATTCTATCTTACGTAGTTACATAGTTACATAGCTGAAAAGAGACTTGCGTCCATCAAGTTCAGCCTTCCTCACATTTGTTTTTTGCTGTTGATCCAAAAGAAGGCAAAAACCCCAGTCTGAAGCACTTCCAATTTTGCAACAAGCTCATGATAAGATTGAGCAAACTTTGTAGAGTATCAACCTTTACCTAGGATTGGGTTCCTGCAACCGGAAGGAACTGCAGTTTTTTCTTGGCTCGCTCAATTTTGCCATTAGGACCATAACACAAGGCAGAGCTTTTATTTCTCGACTGCTCTGTTTGTTCCTTCACCTTCCATCGGACTTCTAATGTATCACTTTGGACCTTCACGCTACGGCAGACTTGCGCATGTGATGCAATTTCTTGCTACAATGGAAAGGGAAGGCTATGTTCATCCTTCCAATCTCAGACAGTTCCCCGACGATCTGGACAGATGCGGCGGCCAATTCTGGATCTGTGGCAATGACTGGGTTTGGGGTCCTTGGCCAGTGGAGGTCGAGTCACTACCTGGGTTTTCTAAAACTTCTGCATTATTCGAACTGTACCCTATAGTGGTGGCAGTGGTTGCCTGGGGGCATGGCTGGGCTGGTCGCTCAGTCAGATGCTCCTCAGATAACCTAGCTACCTGCTACATTGTCAACAAGGGTCACTCATCTTCTTTAGTTGTCATGAGGTTTTTGAGGAGACTCACTTGGGTGACGGCCACTCTCCATTTTTTTCTTACATTTATTTACTTCCTGGGGGTCTCTAACGTACCCACTAAACACCTGTCTTGTTTCTGCTTGCAGGCATTCCACAAGACTCGGCCCACTGCCTCTCATCTAGCTACTCCTGTCGCCCCATTTCGAGACCTGTTGATGGATTGAATGTATTTTTGTCACACGCACAGGACCTCACCCGCTTGGCACTTCGCTGATAACACTAGGAAAGACTACAATAGGGCTCTTCATCCTTTTTGCCAAATTCAGTACTGAATTCCGTTTTCACAACAATTTTTCTACAGTGTCTTTATTGGATTGAACTTCTTTTTGCCACCTTAAGCTAAAATTATCCTATAACACTATCAAACTCTACCTAACAGGCATTAAACATTACATGTTAATACTAAACCCTAACAGCACAGGATTCTTATCCTCTTATCAAATTAAAACCTTTCCTGAAATGGATACAGAAATCCAACAAAATATTACCCCCTAAGAGACTACCCATCCAAGGTAAATTGTTCCAATCCCTATCTAGTTTATTAGATACTTCTTCTTTCGAACCAAATACTAATGGTGATAATCAAAACAGCCATATACCTAGCCTTTTACGGTTTCATAAGACCAAGGGATCTTACCTGTATTAATCTAACGGCCACCGATTTCCTTACAACTAGGGATATCAATAAATCCCAGGATCACTACATTCTGTCACTCAACCATTCTAAAGCAAGCCAGATGGAACCTCCGGTTAATATACCATTCTACCGTACTTACAACAAATGGTGCCCAGTTATGGTTCTAGACACATACTTCAGCACTTTTCCAAAATTACCTCACCAACCATTTCTGGAGTTACACGGTTCCACACTCACTACATCTAAATTCATGATGTACCTTCGCCTGCTAGTAACCAGGCTTGGCCTTAATTCAAATCACTATTGAGGCCACTCTTTTCGTTTAGGGGCAGCCTCATCGGCCTCCTCCAACAACACCCCAGCACATATTATTAAAGCCATGGGACGCTGGAAATCATCCACATACACTCTATATATCCCGTAACTAGTTAAAGAGATTCACCAAGACTTGTCTAAATAATTGATGTATTGTAGTACAAATAAAATCTTGTGTGGTACTCTTCCTTTTTGCCCTCTTATTTACAGGCCTACTGCATTCTCGGTTCCAGCACACCACAACCAACTGGAATGTGTAAAATATGTTATTATTACTATTAACATGTTACTACTAATTATATGTTATCTAATCATTACGGCAATATTACCCCGACCACAAATTTAAGGCAGGGCCTGTATTTGTTGGAGGGGCTTGGGGTCCCCTTTATAAGGGCCGCCAATCCCCTCTCACATACCGTGATTGGTCTGGCGAGTTAACCCTCCCACCACTCCCTCTTTCACATCACCCTCTATATGTGGGCCCTCTTTTTTAAAGGCCTACTGCATTGTTGGTTCTGGCACACCACAACCGACTGGTGTTTCTAAACTATGTTATTAGTACTATTAACATGTTACCGGTACTACTAATTATATGTTATCTAACATATTTCCCCGACCACAATTGTTATAAATAAACAGTTCAACCCATCTACTCTTTTCTTCTTACTTACTTTCTAAATCCTTCCCTCCTCTGCCTTACTGCCCTCCATTCATACTTATCTTTCACGCTAATTTCTACTTTTTTCATTCCCCTCTTTTAATTGCATACCATGTGTTATTCAGATTCACATTTCATTTTTCAATAAAGTGAGACAGAACGTATAAGGAGTTAAGGAGTTAAGGAGTACAGGACATTATATACCCTTCACCTCATTCTATAAATTCAACCTTGTTGTGTGAAAGATTTACAACTTGGAATATAATGCTTGAATTGGGCTGAGACACTACATACTCTTCTTATTGATAAAGCTTGAATTTTATATACTCATTAACATCAGAAATAAGATTTTAGACAAAAGCAGACACGTGTATTAAGCGATAAGAACACAGTAGATTTTTTCCACAAACTGTCTAGACACCTGGCTCTGTAAGATAAAATAGATATAATCATTAAACTAGAATGCAGAGAATTGCCAAGAGCACTGCAAATTTTACATTAAAAGCCAACATGGAAAATTTATCCAAATCCTATTTAAAGAAAACACTACAGCGGATTATTGTGATTGAAGACGTCCATCAGGGTTATTCAGTAAATTGATCATTCTTGAAATTTCAAAGTAAATTTAAGGCCAAAGTAGCTGACCTGGAAGCTTGGCAGACTTATTCTGACTGAGAAAGTGTGACAGTAAAGGAATACATGTATTCCTAACATTCAGGTGTTCTCTTAAGTTCTTAGGTTATTGCCTCTTTACTTAAATAGTAAAATACATGAATTATTTTACCTTTAGGCCATTAGTGCAAAGGTCACACAGTGGGATCCTCTCTTCCCCTGGCTGAAATCATCATTATAGATTATCTTAGCCAATCCAATGTTCATTAGGGGAGTTATGCAACTGTTGCCATTTTGTCACAGAGATGTATTGACTCAGTAAAGACTCTGAATGTCGGTTCTGCAAAAATTTCAGAACCACATCAGGAAGTCCCTCTTAGTGGCTTTTTTTTTTTTAAGTAATAGGGGTACTCAGGTATAGGGCTAGTAGAGTATGTGTATTCTTATGAAAGCATCCTGTGAGTCTCCTTCTGGCACCGCCTCTACTAAAGACATACGCATGGACAATAGTGAAGGGGGAGCATGACTGCTGCAGACGTAGGATGGGGCCTGGCCAAGAGGAATTGATGCAATGTTTCAAGTTGGAGGGTTAATATAAGGGTAAGAAAGGAGTATGCTTACCAGTCAGTAGGTTTAGGGAGGCTGACATGTTATTCACTCCATCACCTTGTTTTCTGGCCTGTTGGGCAATAGCAGGACACTTTAGTGACTATTTATTCCACGCTTATCTTGACAATGGAGGAGAACGCTGGTTCTCATTTGGGGGGAGTACAAGGTTTATGATGGACAAAAGTGGTCACGCCATGACCAACAATTTCACCAAAAGATGGTGTCCAGGTCTGGTATGGATTTTTCATTGCAGGACAGCAATCTGTGGTAATGAGTCAGTGTTGCCCGGTGCCCTTTCTGCGGGCAGCCTGCGGGCACCTCACAGTGCCAGCTGGACAAAAAAAGGAAGCGTGCTAGTTCCTCAATGAGAGCCGCTGTAGGTGGTACAGCACCTGCAGATTTAAACATTAAACATGAGTACCCCCACTGTGATTTGTTGCATCAAAAAAGGGTAAGCAGCTTCCAAAACCGGAGGAAGGGATGAATCCTTTAAAAGGGAAAACATCAGTGAGCGTGTTAAGGCGTTAAGGATGCGCCCATTGCTGGAGGCATATTACAATCATAAGACGGCAACAGTTCTATGGGAGAGGTTTAACTGCGGGTTCTGGATTCCATTTGTGCCGTTGGATTTGCCAGTTTGTTTCTGAGAATTTGAGTTTATTGCTGGGTCCCATAAATTGCAGCACAATTTTTGTCCCATGACCTTTTACCAGTTTGTTTGGTTTTTACCATTTAACATTTTTATTATATTTTCACAAGAAAGTAGGGATACAGAAGAGAAAAATGGAGGGGCAAGTTGCACCAGCAGTCAACATCAATATGAAGGCTCAAGTTAGAGTCCTAGTTATAACAGTGGTTATAGCACGTCAAATAAAAAAGTACATAACAGATATGCAGGAACATCAACTCTTGACGGATATTGAGTGATGTCATATAATGTAGCCATTTGGACATTTAGATATACTGGCAGGAGGGAATCCCTCTTTTACATAAGTATAGGAGGATCTGTCCACATAAACCGCTCAAATCTTACTTGAATCACATGCAACATTTGAGTCACAAACCTGCCCAACCTCACCAGGCAGAAACCCTACAGGGTACACTCCAGTGTAGGGATAGGATGCTGCAATAGAGATATAATCTAGAATAAAGTAGGTTAAAATAACCTAATCATATAAAGACCACAGCTCAATTTACAGTTGTAAACATCAAAGAAAATAATATTTTTCGGAGTGTGTCAAGGCTCAGCTTTCACAGAAGACACATTTAGGGTCGATCTCCATGCATCTCATAGCAGCCATGCTCCCTTAAAGCTTTCAGTGGGTTGGAGATGGAGGTAAATTTATTTTCAGAAATATATTGTTTATCCAGTTCAGATATTAAATTGGTCATTTGTGGCTATTACCAGTTTCTTCTGATGGTTGATCCGGCAGGAGCATGGGAGCTGTCACGCAAGAGTAAGTTGGGATTTTTAAGATAGGGAGCAGCAGCATTTAGGCAGGTAGGGACCTCTTACTGTAAAGTGCTATTTCCTTGTAGGAGTTCCAACATTTCATTTGGATTATTTTGCATTCATTTACAGGGTGGCTCATCGGCCCAAGTAGCATTTATACCGGCAGAATCTTTGGTTCCCACAAGAGTTAGTGTGGGTAAATTGACAGGGGATTATGGGTTTGTGGTGGGAGCAACTGTATGGGAAGTGTGTTTCTCTGAGAAGGTTTAGCCCCTTATGTTACTTATTCATACTGTGAGAAACGACGTAGGACACAGTTGTACCATATATCTCATATTTTATTTTTGCTGTTGATGCAAAAGAAGGCAAAAGAAATAGTTTGAAGCACTTTCTAATTTTGCAACAAACTAGGAAAAAATCCCTTGTTGACCCAAGAATGGCAGCAGATATCGCCTTGAATCAAGAAGCTATTACCCCACTAATTAAAATGTATACCCTTGAACATTATGTTTTTGCAAGTATTTATCCAAATTGCAGTTTAAACATCTGTATAGACTCTGATAAAACCACCTCTTTAGACAGATAATTCCACATCATTATTGATCTCACTGTAAAAAAACCTTTCCTTTACCTTAGACTAAATCGTATTTCTTCCAGTCTAAATGTGTGATCTTGTGTCCTATGTATAGTCTTGTTTATGAATAGATTTCCAGACAATGGTTTGTATTGACCCTAATATATTTGTATAATGCTATCCAATCCCCTCTGAGGTACAGGTTTTCCAGTCAAAAGAGATTTAAATTTGTTAACATTTCTTCATTACTAAAAAGCTCTATTCCTTTTATTAATTTTGTAGTCTCTGCACTTTTTCTAGTGCCACGATATCCATCTAAAAACAGGTGCCAAAATGTTTAAGCCAATGTTCTACCCAAGAACAATTTTTATCTAGACTAATTTATTTTAGTTTGAAGACTAACCTATTGTGAGGTACTGTATCAAATGCCTTGGCAAAATCCAAGAAGATCACCACCACTACAACACCCTGATCTATACTTTTACTTATTTCTTCGTATATTGCAATTAGGTTAGTTTCACATGACCTATATTTCATAAAGCAATGCTGATTATTGCTTCCCATTGAATTCCTGAATATTATCCCTTAATAACCTTTAAAATACTATCTCAGCCGCAGAAGTTAAGCTTGCAAGTTTATAATTTTCAGTCAAAGATTTTTAACCTGTTTTGAATATAGGAACCACATCAAATTCTCTGGTACAATTCCTGAAAGAAGAGAATTTGAAAGATTAAAAACAAAAGTTCACAGCACGTGTACATCACACTAGGATTTCTTTACCACCTTCTATTGCTAACAGCAGCGTCATATCAAGATGCAGAGAGCCTAAACTAGATTCATCGACCAATAGAACAGTAGCAGACCAGTGTACCGTCTTGTAAAAAGCAATACAAAGAGCACGTTGCCTGCGTGCAACACATGTCCACGTTTTTCACACGGCAAAAGTAACACTGTGCAACATAGTATATATACTCCTATAACTAGTGTATATATACTCGTATAACAGGTGTATTTTGTAAACACCTGTTGTACAAACTGGCATGTATGATATCTGTATCTCCACCTGATTGCTCACTCACAAATAAAGAATTAAAAAAATAACATAAACAGAGGGTCACTTATTTCCATACTTGGAACTCATGGGTGAATACCATCAAGCCCCGGAGCTTTGTTTATATAAACTTTCTTTAGTTGCTGCAGCACCTTGTCATCAATCACAATTTGTTTTCAAGTGTTTACAGTTATCATTTGCATATCTCTTTCAATAGGATTAACATATACTGAAGAAATATGGTAATTTATTTCTGACTTTTCCTGGTCTTCATTAACTAACACTTGGTTAATTGGTTTAGACATATTTATTTGGGGAGGGGCTGCCATGTCTGTCCACGCTGACAGGTTGCTTTTTAAGAGGAATTAAACATAGAATAAAATTAAAGTATTTATTTTCAGGTTAATCTTTGAGTGCTGGAGTTACACTCTCCTATGTCTTCCGTAGACCAGTCAGATTGATTATATTAGACTTTGTGATAGACCACCTGGTCTCCTAGGACTTGTACATGACTCCCTGCCACCACATCACCCTCAAGACTATTAATACCCACTTATTCCCCCTCCAAATCATGCCTCCTAGCTCAGTGCCTTCTCCAGTGGTCTAAAAGGCATCAAGATTCAGGAAGGAACTCAGAGGCACGGCGTGCCTGACAGGTAGAAACACACAAAGCCCAGGAACTTCTAATTCGATCGCAGACCTGACGTGATCTGGTAAAACATCTTTGTGGGCGTTCTCGGTTTCAGGACCACCAAACAGGGGTGACAGAAGAGGTGGTGAGGCAAGGAATAGTACCACGGTTTTGAGGGAGTTCAATGTACCAATGGAAGGCACAGTCTTTGAAGGTGAGCGGAATTTCTTACCCAGAGCTGTGGAACTCTGTCCCAGATCAGGTGATGCTAATGGGCCAGTCAAAACTTAACATCTAGACTTTTCGGGTCAGGCCAGGATGGGCGCACAGAGGAGAGCCAACACTGGGTGACTCTGATTTGGGGATGCAGCCACAGAGACCCATGGTTTTGGGGTGAATTGTAATGTGGTTCTGAGGTGTCTGTCCACTGGCCGCTAATAAAGTTAACTCATCAGGTACAGACACCCAAGAGTCAGATGTTGGGAAATGCTATTGTTTCCCTGAGGACCCCCTGTTGGGGACCAAGGTATATAAATGTAACACTCACAACAATAACGCTGTGTTTTGTTCACCCTTAAATTAAACCCTGGCTAATGTTTAGGGAATGGGCCATAATCACCTCAGAGCTCTTCACTAAAGGGTTAAAGGGAATCCTTGATGGCAACAACCATAGCACCTGTGGTTAGACCTCCACAGACCTACAATGGAATTCATGTAGAGTGCGTAAGCAAAATTCTCCCCTGCTCCTCCTGCAAGGCATTTCCTGTATGAGAGACTGTTAGTAGGCAGATGGGCAGTGATCCCTTCCACTTCCTGTCCAGTCTCACAAACAGACACTGGAGGATCTGTGATAGCACTGAGCTTTAAACCCTGTATAACTGTTCCTGCCCTCCTCTGCTGTTAAGGCTAACTGGACTACACAGGACACTGGCCAAGGCTCCTGGTATGTATGTTTTCCCGTCAGCATATTTAACCTCAAAAAGACACATTATAAGTACTGAAAACATGGCTCCGGCTGACTCGTCTCCTGAATCCTCTTCCTAGTAATAACCTCTACTATTCTCCTGATTATGAATCTCACAGCTTCTGTCCTTTGGCTCATGCTCTGTAAATCAACCATGCTTCCTGGATCTCTGACTTTTCTCTCTGACTCACTGTTCATGGCCCCAAAATTGTTAATTCTACAGTGGCTAAGTATTCCACCAATAACGTGGACGGTGGACTGATTCACTGGTATAGAACTCTGGATTAGTTCAATTACTTACGTTTAGTTTTCTCTTCCAACAGTTATACCTTGATATTTTTTTTGATGCTATGGTATTGAAGGATTATTCTAATTTGATTGTTTTTCTGGCACTGGAACATTAGGTAAAACAAAGTTAAAAACAATAGTCTTATGCCTCTTTCTTATAGCAATCCTATTAAAGGACCACTATAGTGCCAGGAAAACATATTCGTTTTCCTGGCACTATTGTGCCCTGAGGGTGCCCCCAGTCTCGCTGCTCAATTCTCTATCATTTAGGAGTTAAATCACTGTTTTTGCAGCCCTAGCCTAGCTTATAGCAGGTTGTTGAGTTGCTGTTAAAAGCAGCCATGACAGGCACATTGTAACAAGGTTTAAGAAGAAGTGGTTATACAGGTAATCATTGCTTTATCTCTCAAATGATTAATGAAAACTTTATATTGTGACAATGTTGCAGAAGTATATATTATTATAGTACCTTCGAACCTTGGGTTATATAAATGTTTTGTTGTGTAGGTGTATGTTTGTGATTTGCTTTGTGTATTTTAATTTGAGTATGTGTATAAAAAACATTGCATGTATAACAATAAAAAAAAATTACAGTTCTAAAAGATTATAAAAAAGTAAAGAAAAAAAACACTACAAAAAAGTTGTAACATGTTATGAACCACTAAAACAGAGGAAGTAGTTATTATGATTAATATTGTTATTGCCATTTATATAGTGCCAATTAGAGTTTAGCGAACGTGAACTGCAAAGTTCGGGTTCGTACCGAACATTACGGTTTTTGGACTCCGGACCCGAACACGGACATTTCAGTGTATGTTCGGGTTGGAGTTTGGTGTTCGGTGATTTAATGGCATGTTTTGAAAGGCTGCAGGGCAGCCAATCAACAAGCGTTTGACTTGTGTGCCCTTAGAAGCCATCACAGCCATGCCTACTAATGTCATGGCTGTGATTGGCCAGTGCAATATGTGACCCAGCCTCTATATATAAGCTGGAGTCACGTAGCGCCGCATGTCACATGAGCTCTTATTAGTGTAGGGAGAGGATGCTGCATCTGTGAGGGACAGATTAGGAAAGAATTCTGGTGTTGAATCTGTAAACTACAGCGATTATTTTTGTGGGTGCTATACTACATTTTTGTACCTTGCCTTGAGCCCAGTGCCACAGAGAGTGCAGTGCACTTGCAACTGTATGCGTGCCAGGCACATTACTTTAATCCTGTTCTGGTAGCTCAGTTCTGGGCAACATCTAGACATTTTTAAATACTGCAATTTTTTGGGTGCTAAATTGTACATTTGCGTACTGCATTTCTTGCAGTCTAATAAAACCCTTAAATACTACTGTTACATTGTTGGTTTAAAAAATCACACTTTTTTTGTGCTAAATATTACATTTGTGGACTGCACTTCATATCTGAGAGTCAAATAGAACTGACAAATACTGTGGTTACAGTGCAGTTTTAAAAATTCAAATTTTTTAGGTGCTAAAAATACATTTGGGGCCTGCACTTCATATCTGAGAGTCAAACAGAACCGTCAAATACTGCTGTGACATTGCAGTTTGACTAATTCACATTTCTTTGGTGCTAAATAGTACATTTGGTGTGTGCACTTCATATCTGAGAGTGAAATAGAACCGTCAAATACTGTGGTTGCAACGCAGTTTTAAAAATTCTAATTTTTTAGGTGCTAAAAAGTACATTTGTGGCGTGCACTTCATATCTGAGAGTGAAATAGAATCGTCAAATACTGCTGTGACATTGCAGTTTGACTAATTCACATTTCTCTGGTGCGAAATAGTACATTTGGTGTGTTCAATTCATGTCTGTGAGTCAAATAGAACCGTCAAATACTGCTGTGACATTGCAGTTTGACTAATTCACATTTCTTTGGTGCTAAATAGTACATTTGGGGCCTGCACTTCTTATCTGAGAGTCAAATACAACCGTCAAATACTGCTGTGACATTGCAGTTTGACTAATTCACATTTCTTTGGTGCTAAATAGTACATTTGAGGCCTGCACTTCATATCTGAGAGTGAAATAGAACCGTCAAATACTGCTGTGACGGGTTTCCAATTGACACCATAGGGAGGTGAACAAAAGAAGGCACATATTACACTGGACGAGGTAGTGAAAGAGGGGGGAGTGACCTCAATTACACTACTGACAGAAGGGAAAGACCCATCACTCATGCAGAGATTTCAGTATGCACAAATGCGACATTTCTTGACTGCACAGGGCTTATCAAATTGGACCCCAAGAGACAGGACCAAATTTGAACTATTATGTTCAGGAGAAAAAACGCCTTCCAAGCTGACATCCCTTTGCTATAAACTGTTACAAACCCAGACATATACACAATTACCGTACTTTACCAGATTATGGAGGGAACACTTAGGCAAAGACTTGGAAGTAGGAGATTGGAAGAATATCCAAACGATCTTTCACGCACACTCTAGCATACCACTACAGGAGATTAACTATAAAATCATATCCAAGTGGTATACTACCCCGGTGGATATACACAGATTTGACGCCAACTCATCACCAGTATGTTGGAGATGCAACTCAGATAAGGGCACCTTCCAACACATATGGTGGTCATGCGGTGAGATATCGGGCTTCTGGAAAGAAGTCTGGAATACTGTCAATCTAGTGATAGACACATCCATATCCTTCAACCCGGAGGCACTCCTCTTATACCACTTCAAAATACCACACCAGAAATTCAAACACTCCCTCGTTTACTTTATGCTGACAGCGGCAAAAAGCTCAATAGTGAATCACTGGAAATCGGCGACTCCCCCCTCTAAAAAAGATTGGTATCAAAGAATAGAACATTTCCATGAGATGGAAGAACTCAGATGGGGATCTTTAGACAAATATCACAGATACAAAGACATATGGCAACCCTGGAAAGAATTATTGAGAGGTAGTCAGGCTGAAGACTAAAAACCACCGCATCTGCCCAGAGGGGGTAAAGCTATCCAGGAAAGGGACAGGGAATAAGGCCGGGGGGTGGAGGGAAGTAGGGGACACGGGATGTATTCCCCTCCTCTTTCACAACAATTCAACTACATAGATATAACAGGCTTAAGACACAGTGATACCCAGAACGAACACGCTATAACTCTTTGACACAAAATAAACTACACACACACAGGAATTAATGGACAAGGTTGAATGTCTACCATGACAAATATGAAAACAATGTGAAATCTAGGCCAAATATAACTGTTACTGAGAATGTCATACCTGTATTTAGTGGTGCGATGTTGCAATATCTTTCTTCTTCTTTCTCTTTCTTTTTAACACTACGTTTTGTGTTATTACAATGTTATAATACAATGTCATACTTTGCTCCTAAATTACGGAGAAACGCAGACAAAAAAAACCCAACAAAAATAAAATCTATAAAAAAAAAAAAATACTGCTGTGACATTGCAGTTTGACTAATTCACATTTCTTTGGTGCTATATAGTACATTTGAGGCCTGCACTTCATATCTGAGAGTGAAATAGAACCGTCAAATACTGTGGGTGCAGCGCAGTTTTAAAAATTCAAATTCTTTAGGTACTAAATAGTACATTTGTGGCGTGCACTTCATATCTGAGAGTGAAATAGAACCGTCAAATACTGCTGTGACGGGTTTCCAATTGACACCATAGGGAGGTGAACAAAAGAAGGCACATATTACACTGGACAAGGTAGTGAAAGAGGGGGGAGTGACCTCAATTACACTACTGACAGAAGGGAAAGACCCATCACTCATGCAGAGATTTCAGTATGCACAAATGCGACATTTCTTGACTGCACAGGGCTTATCAAATTGGACCCCAAGAGACAGGACCAAATTTGAACTATTATGTTCAGGAGAAAAAACGCCTTCCAAGCTGACATCCCTTTGCTATAAACTGTTACAAACCCAGACATATACACAATTACCGTACTTTACCAGATTATGGAGGGAACACTTAGGCAAAGACTTGGAAGTAGGAGATTGGAAGAATATCCAAACGATCTTTCACGCACACTCTAGCATACCACTACAGGAGATTAACTATAAAATCATATCCAAGTGGTATACTACCCCGGTGGATATACACAGATTTGATGCCAACTCATCACCAGTATGTTGGAGATGCAACGCAGATAAGGGCACCTTCCAACACATATGGTGGTCATGCGGTGAGATATCGGTCTTCTGGAAAGAAGTCTGGAATACTGTCAATCTAGTGATAGACACGTCCATATCCTTCAACCCGGAGGCACTCCTCTTATACCACTTCAAAATACCACACCGTAAATTCAAACACTCCCTCGTTTACTTTATGCTGACAGCGGCAAAAAGCTCAATAGTGAATCACTGGAAATCGGCGACTCCCCCCTCTAAAAAAGATTGGTATCAAAGAATAGAACATTTCCATGAGATGGAAGAACTCAGATGGGGATCTTTAGACAAATATCACAGATACAAAGACATATGGCAACCCTGGAAAGAATTATTGAGAGGTAGTCAGGCTGAAGACTAAAAAACACCGCATCTGCCCAGAGGGGGTAAAGCTATTCAGGAAAGGGACAGGGAATAAGGCCGGGGGGTGGGGGGAAGTAGGGGACACGGGATGTATTCCCCTCCTCTTTCACAACAATTCAACTACATAGATATAACAGGCTTAAGACACAGTGATACCCAGAACGAACACGCTATAACTCTTTGACACAAAATAAACTACACACACACAGGAATTAATGGACAAGGTTGAATGTCTACCATGACAAATATGAAAACAATGTGAAATCTAGGCCAAATATAACTGTTACTGAGAATGTCATACCTGTATTTAGTGGTGCGATGTTGCAATATCTTTCTTCTTCTTTCTCTTTCTTTTTAACACTACGTTTTGTGTTATTACAATGTTATAATACAATGTCATACTTTGCTCCTAAATTACGGAGAAACGCAGACAAAAAAAACCCAACAAAAATAAAATCTATAAAAAAAAAAAAATACTGCTGTGACATTGCAGTTTGACTAATTCACATTTCTTTGGTGCTATATAGTACATTTGAGGCCTGCACTTCATATCTGAGAGTCAAATTGAACCGTCAAATACTGTGGTTACAGCATAGTTTTTAAAATTCAAATTTTTTTAGGTGCTAAATAGTACATTTGGGGCCTGCACTTCATATCTGAGAGTCAAATAGAACCGTCAAATTCTGGTGTGACATTGCAGTTTGACTAATTCACATTTCTTTGGTGCTAAATAGTACATTTGGGGCCTGCACTTCATATCTGAGAGTGAAATAGAACCGTTAAATACTGCTGTTACATTGCAGTTTGACTAATTCACATTTCTTTGGTGCTAAATAGTACATTTGTGGCGTGCACTTCATATCTGAGAGTGAAATAGAACCGTCAAATACTGCTGTGACATTGCAGTTTGACTAATTCAAATTTGTGGGTGCTAAATAGTACATTTGGTGTGTGCACTTCATATCTGCGAGTCAAATAGAACCATCAAATACTGTGGTTACAGCGCAGTTTTAAAAATTTAAATTTTTTTAGGTGCTAAATTGTACATTTGGGGCCTGCACTTCATATCTGAGAGTCAAATAGAACCGTCAAATACTGCTGTGACATTGCAGTTTGACTAATTCACGTTTTTTTAATGCTAAAAAGTACATTTGTGGCATGCACTTCATATCTGAGAGTCAAATAGAACCGTCAAATACTGTGGTTACAGCGCAGTTTTAAAAATTCTTATTTTTTGGGTGCTAAATAGTACATTTGGGGTGTGCACTTCATATCTGGTGTATGTGTGCAACACTGGCTAGTGACCGCTTCTCAAGAAAGTCTAAAGATAAATAAATGTTGCCTATGGTGCAGGTAGTATAGAAGGCAAGACTGAGACAAATCATTTGGGTTACGTTTTTCTGTTGACATGTTAATTATCTTAGACCATTAAAATTCAATAATCAATGAAAAAACACACTACACAAGTGTCATACAAAAATATGTATTATAGACAAGTTAAAAACAAGACTACAAGTCATGCTATAACAAAATTAAACAAATGTTAAAATATGTATGGGCCAACCAGTGGCTGTAAAAACAAAGTTTTACTGGTTACATTCATGACTACACACTCTAGTGAACAGGACCTTCATGTAGTGTGATTTTTTTTTTTAAATCATACAGCATCCTTTCATGTGCAGACTGGCAAGGAGGGCAGGGTTGAGGAGTGATGTGGAGGATGATGAGGTCCTAGACCCCACATGGAATGAAGGTCATGCGAGTGACGTGTGCAGTTTGGAGAAAGAGGCGGTGGTCGCACAGAGGACAGATGGAGCGATCAAAGGAACCATAACTGATTTAATGAGCCATTCGCAGTTTCAAAGTCAGGGCAGCAGTCCGGTGACCGGGACCCAGACACTGTCTGGGCGGCGGTCGGACGACCGGGACCCTGTATGCCTGATGTTGAAGTTAGGAGTCACAGTGTGGAATGGATTAACAGGGCTGTTGCAGGGTAACCGCACGCCCCTTGGTGTTGAGCACCAGCGTTTGTGTGGCCACATACCAGGACCCTGATGCAGCTTCAGTAAAAAAAGTACTGGATACCAGAAGCCATCACCAGACTGATCCGCAACTTGGAACAGGATGTGACATTCACTGTAGCAGCTGTGCGCGCTTTCAGCGTTCTCACCCTGCTGCTGCTCGCCTGTCTGCGCTGCAGCATAACTTCGGCCTTCCCGCTTACTGCTTCATATGCGACATGCCCAGATGGTGGAACTCCACCTTGTACATGCTGGAGAGACTGTGCGAGCAGCAGCAGGCGATAGTGGAGTTTTAGCTGCAGCACGCACGGGTCAGTCGCTCTGCACCAGACTTGCCCTTCAATTGATCCTAATTAAAGGATTTAATGTGGACTCATTACAATTACAGGGCCTCGAAAGAGTCCTGTATTGTTATTTGTCGTCACTACCTCCCCGCGTCGGGAGTGGGTAATTTGCACGCCTGCTGCCTTCCTTGGATGTGGTAGCCGTTTCTCAGACTCCCTCTCCGGAATCGAACCCTGATTCCCTGTTACCCGTGGTCACCATGGTAGGCGCAGAAAGTACCATCGAAAGTTGATAGGGCAGACATCCGAATGCGTCGTCGCTGTCACGGGGACATGCGATTGGCCCGAGGTTCTCTAAAGTGCCTGCGCAACGACTGCCGAGTTGCCCACATTCTAATTTGTGCTGATTACAGGGTGGCCACCCTGCTGGATCCCCATTACAAGGACAACATGCCGTCCTTAATTCCCTCACTGGAGCATGATTGGAAGATGCGCAACTACAAGCGCACGCTGGTAGACGCGCTGCTGAGGGCATTCCCAACTGACACCGGAGGTTCAGTGGAAGCACAAAGGCAGAGGAGGAGGAAGAGGTCGCCAACGCAACTGGGGCACCGCCAGCACCTCGGAAGGCAGGGTTAGTATGGCTGAAATGTGGAGAAGCTTTGTCAGCACGCCACAACAACCAGCACCACCAGCTGATATGGAACGTCTTATCAGGAGGCAGCATTTCAGCAACATGGTGGAACAGTACGTGTGCACACGCCTACATGTACTGACTGATGGGTCTGCCCCATTCAACTTCTGGGTCTCCAAATTGGGCACATGCCTGAGCTTGCCCTTTATGCCTTGGAGGTGCTGGCCAGCCCTGCAGCCAGTGTATTGTCTGAACGTGTGTTTAGCATGGCAGGGGGCGTTATCACAGACAAGCGAAGCCGCCTCTCCACAGCCAACATGGACAAGCTCACGTTTATTAAAATGAACCAGGCATGGATCGCACCAGACTTGTCTGTATCTTGTGCAGAATAGACATTTATACCGGCCTCACCCAGCCATTGTTATACTCAAGTGCACTTATTCTTTGTTTTCTTTTTTTATATGTCACAATATTTTGGGGGCTACCCCAATTAAAAAAAAAACAGTGTTGGCTACCTCCTCCACCGCCGCTTCCACCTACACCGCCGCGGTCACCGCCTCCTCAACCTCCTACTCCACATCCACCTCCTCCTCGGAGAGCAGAGTGCAAAAGTGGAGCGGCTATTCCCTAGACAGTATGCCTTCTACTGCCCACCGCACCCAGGGACCGAGCACACCAAAACCAGCTCCAAGGAGTTCCCTGGCATGGCAATTCTTCAGACGATGTGCTGACGACAAGACACTAGTGGTTTGCACGCTGTGCAATCAGAGCCTGAAGCGAGGCATAAACTTTCTCAACCTGAGCACAACCTGCATGACCAGGCATCTACATGCAAAGCACGAGCTGCAGTGGAGTAAGCACCTCCAAAACCAAGATGGGTCTCAGGCTCCTCCTGCTTCCTCTTCTGCTGTTTCCTCCACCTCTGGAGTGACAGTGGCACCTGCCACCCCGCAAACAGAGGATGTGGCAGCAACGCCACCACGTCTGCCATCGTCCCCAAGCATCTCCACACTGTCCCATGGAAGCGTTCAGCTGTCCATCTCCCAAACACTGGAGAGAAAGAGGAAGTAACCCCCTAAATCCCTGGCCCTGAATGCCAGCATTTCAAAATTCCTGGCCTTTGAAATGCTGTCATTCCATCTGGTGGAGACGGACAGTTTTAAAAACCTGGTGGCGTTATTGGACTGCAAGAAATGCACCGCAGGCCACAAATGTTTCTTTTTTTATATGTCCCAATATTTTGGGGGCTACCCCAATTTTAAAAATAAAAAATAAAAAAACAGTGTTGGCAACCTCCTCCTCCTCCACCGCCGCTTCCACCTACACCGCCATGGTCACCGCCTCCTCAACCTATGGGTCACTTAGTATAAACTATGTACACAATAGCAGAGGCTTGTGAAGGCCTTTTCTCCATGCATCAGGAGTTGAGCTCAGTTTGAACAATGAAAGAGAATACCCTGCACTCCAACCCTCTCGCAAATGGATAATTCTGGTGATCCTCCTGACAGCCATGCTTTAGATTTTAAATTATATTCTTTCAAAGCTAAAATCAAAGATTCCATCTAGTGCTATTTTATGGCTCAGCTGTATTTTTTTATTTTTATGTATTTTGTTATTTTAAGTGATTTCCCTATCCACATTTGTTAGTTAGTTAATAGAGATGAGGATATTAAAGTGAGTAAAGAGACTAGAGGCAAGAAACAGGTATTGCAGCAATAAAATAAAACAATATCTTGGTTGTCAGGATAGGATCCTGATAGTAGCATTGGTGGGGTATGGTGGGGTGTAGTGTGTGCAGGGGCAGGGCCAGACTGGCCCACCGGGATAATGCCATCTAGGATAATGCCATCTAAATAAATAAATAAAAGGGAGTAAAAATCGGACGAGTTTGGGGCTGGTGCAGTCATAATTAGGCTTCCCACGGCCAGAGAGACCTGTCAGTCTCCCTGCACAATTGACACCAGTTTTGGCCGCATTCCCTGGCCCGCACTTAAGCCCCGCCTCCCGAACACAAGCCCCGCCCCACACAGAAGCTGCTGTCCTCACTGGACTGAAGAGGCCAGACAATGACACCTTCACCAATGCCAGGTAAGGTGTGTGTGCATCTGCTAGTGAGTGAGCTTCTGTGTGTGTGTGTGTGTGTGTGTGCCTGCTAGTGAGTTAGCTTGTGTGTGTGTGCCTGCTAGTGACTAAGCTTGTGTGTGTGTGTGTGTGTGCATCTACTATTGAGCGAGCCTGTGTGTGTGTGTCTGTGTGTGTGTGCCTGCTTGTGAGGGAGATACTCTGTGTGTGTGCATCTGCTAGTGAGTGAGCTTGTGTGTGTGTGTGTGCCTGCTAGCGAGGGAGTTTGTGTGTGTGTGCATGCTAGTGAGTGTGTGTGTGTGTCTGCTAATGAGTGAGCTTGTGTGTGTGTGCCTGATAATAAGTGAGCTTGTGTGTGTGCTAGTGAGGGAGCTTCTGTGTATGTGTGCTAATGAGGGACCTTCTGTGTGTGTGCATCTGCTTATGAGTGAACTTCTGTGTGTGTGTGTGTGTGTGTCTGTTAGTGAGTGAGCTTCTGTGTGTGTGTGAGTGCATGCCTGCTACTAAGGGAGTGTGTGTGTGTTCCTGCTACTGAGTGAGCTTGTGTGCTAGTGAGGGAGCTTCTCTGTGTGTGTGTGTGTATGCTAGTGAGGGAGTTTCTCTGTGTGTGTGTGCATCTGCTAGTGAGGGGGTTTGTGTGTGTGTGTGTGTGTGTGTGTGTGTGTGTTTGTGTGCATCTGCTAGTGAGTGATCTTGTGTGTGTTTGTGCATCTACTAGTCAGTGAACCTGTGTGTGTGTGCCTGCTAGTGAGGGAGCTTCTGTGTATGTATGCCTGCTAGTGAGGGAGTTTGTGTGTGTGTGTGCCTGCTAGTGAGCGAGTGTGTGTGCCTGATTATGAGTGAGCTTGTGTGTGTGTGTCTTCTTGTGAGTGAGCTTCTGTGTGTGTGTGTGCCTGTTAGTGAGTGAGCTTGTGTGTGTGTGTGTGTGTGTGTGTGTGTGTGCCTGCTAGTGAGTAAGCTTGTGTGTCTGCTAGTGAGTGAGCTTGTATTTGTGTCAGTGAGCTTGTCTGTAGGGAGCATGTGTGTATCTGAGTTTGTCTGTAGGGAGCATGTGTGTGTCAGTAAGCTTGTCTGTGGTGAGCATGTGTGTGCAGTGAGCTTCTCTGTAGTAAGCATGTGTGTGACCGTGAGATTGTTTGTAGTGGCCGTGTGTGTCAGTGAGCTTGTCTGTAGTGAGCATGTGTGTGTCTGTAATAAACTTTTAACTCTCAAGTTGGAATAAACTTGGAATTAATAATAACATTAATAACTAAAAATAATAACTTAAAAACCAAGTGTAAAGTCAGAGTCCACACTCCTTGCTTTCGACAATTCAATAATATTTATTAATAAAGGCTAATCAAACAAATAAACAATACATATACATTTGAAATAGGCTAGTATATGTTGCTACTAAAACTAATCATTGACTGAATGGAAAGTAGGCTAAATTAACATAGTAAAACAGGCATAGACACGTGATACAGTTACCACTCCATTGATCACCAGCTGAGAGTAAGAGAGAGAGGGTGTGTACAGTGGGGAGAGGGGAGAGAGAGAGAGAGAAGGTGAAGAGAGGTAATTCAAAAAGAGAGACAATGTGCTATTCACAGGGCTTTAAACAGGTTAGCCCCTCCTTCTGTTGGACACACCTCCCTTAGTCAATCCCTTAGGATGTAACAGAACCAGAGTGCCTCCTGGGGGAAGGGGGATTGCATTGGAAGGTAATGGAGGAGGAGTTTATCAACAACCCAACTGATTTTGCCTGGTGAAAGGCCATGTGCTTCACAGAGGACTCCATTATTGCCTAAGGGTAGAAAGTGGGCTTGAATCCCTGTATATGTAACACTTCATTGGCATACAGTTTGGCTGTTAACCACATCCCCACACTTATTACATCCCTCCTATTGGCAATGAAGTGGATGAGACACTTAGACCCTATAAAACCCACCAGAGATAAGAGAGAGAGATCATGCATCCTGCAGTGAATCTACTTATGTGAATGCACAACCCATTGCCTCAATAGAGCTCTTTCCATTTACATATCATATTGGAGATGATATACTCTAACAATCAATGACTGTTTTTTTAAAAAAAAACAGTGTTGGCTACCTCCTCCACCGCCGCTTCCACCTACACCGCCGCGGTCACCGCCTCCTCAACCTCCTACTCCACATCCACCTCCTCCTCGGAGAGCAGAGTGCAAAAGTGGAGCGGCTATTCCCTAGACAGTATGCCTTCTACTGCCCACCGCACCCAGGGACCGAGCACACCAAAACCAGCTCCAAGGAGTTCCCTGGCATGGCAATTCTTCAGACGATGTGCTGACGACAAGACACTAGTGGTTTGCACGCTGTGCAATCAGAGCCTGAAGCGAGGCATAAACTTTCTCAACCTGAGCACAACCTGCATGACCAGGCATCTACATGCAAAGCACGAGCTGCAGTGGAGTAAGCACCTCCAAAACCAAGATGGGTCTCAGGCTCCTCCTGCTTCCTCTTCTGCTGTTTCCTCCACCTCTGGAGTGACAGTGGCACCTGCCACCCCGCAAACAGAGGATGTGGCAGCAACGCCACCACGTCTGCCATCGTCCCCAAGCATCTCCACACTGTCCCATGGAAGCGTTCAGCTGTCCATCTCCCAAACACTGGAGAGAAAGAGGAAGTAACCCCCTAAATCCCTGGCCCTGAATGCCAGCATTTCAAAATTCCTGGCCTTTGAAATGCTGTCATTCCATCTGGTGGAGACGGACAGTTTTAAAAACCTGGTGGCGTTATTGGACTGCAAGAAATGCACCGCAGGCCACAAATGTTTCTTTTTTTATATGTCCCAATATTTTGGGGGCTACCCCAATTTTAAAAATAAAAAATAAAAAAACAGTGTTGGCAACCTCCTCCTCCTCCACCGCCGCTTCCACCTACACCGCCATGGTCACCGCCTCCTCAACCTATGGGTCACTTAGTATAAACTATGTACACAATAGCAGAGGCTTGTGAAGGCCTTTTCTCCATGCATCAGGAGTTGAGCTCAGTTTGAACAATGAAAGAGAATACCCTGCACTCCAACCCTCTCGCAAATGGATAATTCTGGTGATCCTCCTGACAGCCATGCTTTAGATTTTAAATTATATTCTTTCAAAGCTAAAATCAAAGATTCCATCTAGTGCTATTTTATGGCTCAGCTGTATTTTTTTATTTTTATGTATTTTGTTATTTTAAGTGATTTCCCTATCCACATTTGTTAGTTAGTTAATAGAGATGAGGATATTAAAGTGAGTAAAGAGACTAGAGGCAAGAAACAGGTATTGCAGCAATAAAATAAAACAATATCTTGGTTGTCAGGATAGGATCCTGATAGTAGCATTGGTGGGGTATGGTGGGGTGTAGTGTGTGCAGGGGCAGGGCCAGACTGGCCCACCGGGATAATGCCATCTAGGATAATGCCATCTAAATAAATAAATAAAAGGGAGTAAAAATCGGACGAGTTTGGGGCTGGTGCAGTCATAATTAGGCTTCCCACGGCCAGAGAGACCTGTCAGTCTCCCTGCACAATTGACACCAGTTTTGGCCGCATTCCCTGGCCCGCACTTAAGCCCCGCCTCCCGAACACAAGCCCCGCCCCACACAGAAGCTGCTGTCCTCACTGGACTGAAGAGGCCAGACAATGACACCTTCACCAATGCCAGGTAAGGTGTGTGTGCATCTGCTAGTGAGTGAGCTTCTGTGTGTGTGTGTGTGTGTGTGTGCCTGCTAGTGAGTTAGCTTGTGTGTGTGTGCCTGCTAGTGACTAAGCTTGTGTGTGTGTGTGTGTGTGCATCTACTATTGAGCGAGCCTGTGTGTGTGTGTCTGTGTGTGTGTGCCTGCTTGTGAGGGAGATACTCTGTGTGTGTGCATCTGCTAGTGAGTGAGCTTGTGTGTGTGTGTGTGCCTGCTAGCGAGGGAGTTTGTGTGTGTGTGCATGCTAGTGAGTGTGTGTGTGTGTCTGCTAATGAGTGAGCTTGTGTGTGTGTGCCTGATAATAAGTGAGCTTGTGTGTGTGCTAGTGAGGGAGCTTCTGTGTATGTGTGCTAATGAGGGACCTTCTGTGTGTGTGCATCTGCTTATGAGTGAACTTCTGTGTGTGTGTGTGTGTGTGTCTGTTAGTGAGTGAGCTTCTGTGTGTGTGTGAGTGCATGCCTGCTACTAAGGGAGTGTGTGTGTGTTCCTGCTACTGAGTGAGCTTGTGTGCTAGTGAGGGAGCTTCTCTGTGTGTGTGTGTGTATGCTAGTGAGGGAGTTTCTCTGTGTGTGTGTGCATCTGCTAGTGAGGGGGTTTGTGTGTGTGTGTGTGTGTGTGTGTGTGTGTGTTTGTGTGCATCTGCTAGTGAGTGATCTTGTGTGTGTTTGTGCATCTACTAGTCAGTGAACCTGTGTGTGTGTGCCTGCTAGTGAGGGAGCTTCTGTGTATGTATGCCTGCTAGTGAGGGAGTTTGTGTGTGTGTGTGCCTGCTAGTGAGCGAGTGTGTGTGCCTGATTATGAGTGAGCTTGTGTGTGTGTGTCTTCTTGTGAGTGAGCTTCTGTGTGTGTGTGTGCCTGTTAGTGAGTGAGCTTGTGTGTGTGTGTGTGTGTGTGTGTGTGTGTGCCTGCTAGTGAGTAAGCTTGTGTGTCTGCTAGTGAGTGAGCTTGTATTTGTGTCAGTGAGCTTGTCTGTAGGGAGCATGTGTGTATCTGAGTTTGTCTGTAGGGAGCATGTGTGTGTCAGTAAGCTTGTCTGTGGTGAGCATGTGTGTGCAGTGAGCTTCTCTGTAGTAAGCATGTGTGTGACCGTGAGATTGTTTGTAGTGGCCGTGTGTGTCAGTGAGCTTGTCTGTAGTGAGCATGTGTGTGTCTGTAATAAACTTTTAACTCTCAAGTTGGAATAAACTTGGAATTAATAATAACATTAATAACTAAAAATAATAACTTAAAAACCAAGTGTAAAGTCAGAGTCCACACTCCTTGCTTTCGACAATTCAATAATATTTATTAATAAAGGCTAATCAAACAAATAAACAATACATATACATTTGAAATAGGCTAGTATATGTTGCTACTAAAACTAATCATTGACTGAATGGAAAGTAGGCTAAATTAACATAGTAAAACAGGCATAGACACGTGATACAGTTACCACTCCATTGATCACCAGCTGAGAGTAAGAGAGAGAGGGTGTGTACAGTGGGGAGAGGGGAGAGAGGAGAGAGAAGGTGAAGAGAGGTAATTCAAAAAGAGAGACAATGTGCTATTCACAGGGCTTTAAACAGGTTAGCCCCTCCTTCTGCTGGACACACCTCCCTTAGTCAATCCCTTAGGATGTAACAGAACCAGAGTGCCTCCTGGGGGAAGGGGGATTGCATTGGAAGGTAATGGAGGAGGAGTTTATCAACAACCCAACTGATTTTGCCTGGTGAAAGGCCATGTGCTTCACAGAGGACTCCATTATTGCCTAAGGGTAGAATGGGGGCTTGAATCCCTGTATTAGAACACAATAACACTTCATTGGCATACAGTTTGGCTGTTAACCACATCCCCACACTTATTACATCCCTCCTATTGGCAATGAAGTGGATGAGACACTTAGACCCTATAAAACCCACCAGAGATAAGAGAGAGAGATCATGCATCCTGCAGTGAATCTACTTATGTGAATGCACAACCCATTGCCTCAATAGAGCTCTTTCCATTTACATATCATATTGGAGATGATATACTCTAACAATCAATGACTTCAAGTAACAACAAATACCAACCTGATTAACAAAGCATACTACAGAAAACACACAATACAATGTGAAATAGGTGAATAAATACATTTTCCACAGCAGAACCCCATGATGATTGTTTCAGAAATTAGTTGTTTTTTTTTTTTTTTTCACCAGGTAGTACTAGCCATGTCAGTAAATAAATGTTCAGTTAGTTCAAGTTCTTGTTGTTGGTGAAAGAATTCATTATGAATACATTCAGCACAGTTTTAATGAACAACCTATTCTTGCCAAAGGGTATCCTCAGTTATACCACGCTCTATTAATGGGGGATGCAGGGTTATGTTGATTCTTCTGTGTCCAATCCTCCATTAAAGTATTGATAGTTCTCTGAGTTTGTATCCCTTTGGAATTTGACACCCTCAGACTGGAGTGTTGCAGTCATACTATATATATCAATTATATTTACAAAGCCCAACCCAGTACCCACACCTCCCAGAACCGTACCCAAGACAACCCTCCTGTTCCTAGTTCTACTTCTTGTCACCCATCTGACTAAAACCTTATTAACAGTGGATGTGACCCTAGAACAGTTCTGAAAGTGTGATGAAACTAGCCAATCTGTTAGTCGAATCAATTGGAAAGTAACATTCCTGACTATAGGGGTAGGTCTCAGTGAACATATTTGGAAATTACCACTAGAGACTCCCCTTATCTCCTGACACTCAGGTCTGCTCCCATTATCCATTAATGAAGGAGTTGTATGAATATAGGTGAAAGGAGGAGTCAGGATTATATGCTCTATCTCTTCCTCTACATTCAACAAGACCTTCACTTCCTATTGTGTCTTACTGTTCCCCAATGTATCCCCTTTAGGATTAATGTATCCACTATAATTTGTGTTGGTATGATACTCTCTAAGATTGCTGTTAACATTATAAATAGGGTTAGTAACATTTAATAACATTTCATTTGATATTAATAGTTCCTCCCTCCAGATCTACAACCAATTTTCCCCAACCAGTCCATATACATTCCCATTGTTCTTAATTTCCCTTATTGTCTTTTCCAAAATCCCTTGAAAGAATCATGTTGCTTTAACCAAACAATCTTGACCGCCTACCCAAAATTAAATGTCACATCTACATATGGAACTTGTAGATTGTCACTGCTGTCCTCTGTTAAGTCTTTGGTAGATCGAGCTACATTTGCATAGATACAGCTG